AAAAAAAAAAAAAAAAAAAAAGAAGTTTGGCTTTAAAGGGGACTTCTCTAAGTATACCTTGTGATTTCAAGTCCCCATGCCATTTCCCTTTGATAGGGATGCCCTTCTCACCTTTCCCCATTCAACTACCCAACTTGTCTTTCAGACTCAAGTGTCAACTCTCCCTGAACCTCAGGTTCTGTTGGGGTCCCATCTGGACACCTGTAGCCCTTGAACTTCCCTCCATCACTGCTCTAGTCATGCTGTCTTATCATTGCATCCCTGTGAGTGTGTCTCTCTCCCATCAGACTTGGAGACCCCTGCAGGTGCACAGACTGGGTCTAATCAGACCTGACTGGAACATGGCAGGGGCCTAATAAATGTTTATTGAATTTATCTCAAGTGAATCAAATACAGGGACAGACTGGAACTAAGGTCATCCAACTCTGGAGTTCAATTTCAAGTTAAGGAGAACAAACAGTCCCAGAGCAATGCAGGAAGACAGGCAAGCAATGCTATGGGTCACAGTTTCAATTAACCCTGCTTGCTGCGCTCCTTCCACAAGGGTGATCCAATAGGGCTGTATGAAAGGGTGGCCAAGATCTGGGATCTACAGCTGGAAAGGGCTAAAGGATCTAAGCACACAGACCCAACTTTACTGTTAAGGAAGTTGGAGTCCAGAACCTCCACCTGCCCTGCAGATGCACAGTGAGTCAGTGGCCTTGTGAGGCCCTGGAGAGGATGGAAAATACCAACTCATGTCCCTCTGGGGCACCTGTTTCTCCAGGTCTGGGAGGCCCAGAAGTAAACTCACGTAAGTCACCTGGCAACAAGCAGGGATACTCCAGAGACCTATGGGCAGAACCTGAGGCTTTGATAGCTGTTGTCTCTCCTTCAGAGGCCCAGCGTATTTGTGGATGGAGACAATGTTGGCCAATCAGGGGTCACATGCAAACAATTCCCTTCAGATAAGCTATTATGCAATCTTTAAACTCCTATCTTTAGGCATTCCCACTTTAAACAAATAGGTGTCCTACTTAGAGCATGGGGGATACTTCAGTAATGAGAGTCCAGGCCTGCCACTCATGAATTGAGTGACTCTGATTGTGTTAGGTAACCTCTCAGATTCTTCAGCTTTCTCATCTGTAAGCAGTCTTTCTTACACTGGCCACTCCCAAGGCACTGTGAAATTCCAGCAGAGCCACATCCAGCAGCTGGGTGGCCTAAGAACTTCTAGGCTTGGTGGTTCCACCTGTCAGAATCCAGGAGCCATTTTTAAAACTACAGACAACTTAGGGCCCCACCCCGGACCTATGATCATTCCCTGAGGCCTACTTGTGCCAGACCTTGAGGAAGTTCAGCATAGACTGTCCCCATCATTGAGCACTCATTGAGCCCCCGCTGTGTACCTAGCCCTGTGTCAGATCCCATGGGAACGGACCTAGTCTTGGCCTTGGATAAGTTCCAGGTCTCATGGGAGACTAGACAGACAAGAATAAACTGACTCTAATCCAGGCAGAATAAAGAGAGTACTAATCATTAGTACTGGGCTGTGGGAGGGAATAACAATGCCTGGATGTCTGGGAAGTCCTCACCACAGTGGTGGCAGCCTTTGAGGTGGGCCTTAAAGGATGACCATCCGTTTGTCAGGTGAATGAGGACACTAAGGTCCTGGCAGCAGAAAGAACAGCATGTGCAAAGGCTGGAAGAGGGGAAAGCTTCGGTGTGGCTTGGGGCAGAAGGTACAGCAGAGCAGCTGGAGGACAGGGATGAGGGGATACTGTAGGGGAGACTGGCCAGATCTCGAGGGCCTCAAAAGCCAGGATGTAGTCAGTGTTCCTTGAACAGGGAGCCATGGAATGTGTGCACGCAAGGAAGTTATGTGACCAGGCCTGGTTCAGAAGGCAGGGAGGGCTGAGCCAGCACTTACCCAGATCCGCCTTTCAAACTTACAGGGTTTCCATGAGCAGGACACACACCTGACCTTGGGGCAAACCCGGCGGCTCCTAGGAGGGACGGTGGCTCCAGCTGGGGCCTGCTTAAGCCACAGAAACCCAAGAAGGCAGGGGGAAGGGAGGTGTCAGAGATCCTGTCAGAGCTCTTACCAGGCCCGACCAAAGCCCTCTGCCTGCTGGGCTGGGGCAAGGGGTTGTCCTCCTCCTTAGCTCATGGTAACAGAGGGAGGCCCAAAGAAAGATAGTTATACAAAGAAGGAAGAGTAGTCCCTTTCTAGAGTTAACTCCGCCTCCCTTGTTTCAGGCAGTTAGGGCTCCCAGTCTTCAGGGAGGACAGAACAGCTCTGATCTGTCTTCCTACCCATCTGGCCCCCTTCTACCCCCAGCCTTGCCCCTCACTGTGCCCACAGGCCCTCTGTTCCCTGGTAAAGCTGGTGTCAAGGGTTCCTGGAGCCTCCACCCAGAGTAGGATATGAACCTGCAGCATGTGGAGGTACAAAGTGCAGGTCACAACCACATAAGCACAGGACAGAGAGAAACCCACAAACATAGACGTGAACACAGAGGCACACACACATACCCGCTCTAGTCAGCCCCAGGTCCAGAGGGGCGTATGTGTGGAGCAGTGGGAGGTGGAATAGAGGGTTGGGGTAGGCCAGGTGCAATAGCCTATCAGGCCTGTAATCCCAGCCCCTTGGGAAGCCGAGGCAGGAAGAGCCCCTGAGGCCAGGATTGGAGAGGGTCAGGGCAGGGAGAAGGGGCAGGTAGAGCAGCAGGAAGGGTGGACAGGCAGAGAAGGACAAGGCAGCTTCATAGAGTCACAGTGCAGAACGGTCACCCTCACTTCCTTCCTTCTGCCTGTCTTGGTAGGATTGATTTCCCCTATATTAGGGGGCTTGGGATCTCAGAGCCAGAGTAGCCCAACCTGGGTCCTTCCACCCTGCTGGCTACCACTACAGCCTCCTCACTCCCAGCTTCTATCAATCTACCCACCACCTGGGAGCCTGAGTCTGCCCCTCAACTTCTGACTGCAGCCCAGCATTGCTTTCCAGAACCCTCAAGAAACTCAAGGTCCTCAACTTGGACTCCAAGGCCCTTTATGAGGCCAGGCATCATGGCTCACACCTTTAATCCTAGCACCCTGGGAGTCTGAGACACATAGATTGCCTCATCTTAGGCGTTTGAGACCAGCCTGAGCAAGAATGAGACCCCGACTCTACTAAAAATAGAAAAACTAGCCAGGTGTTGTGGCAGGTGCCTTCCAGCTACTCAGGAAGCTGAGGCAAGAGGATCACTTAAGCCCAAGAGCTTGAGGTTGCTGTGAGTTGTGATGCTACAGCACTCTATCCAGGGCTACAGAGTGAGACTCTGTCTCAAAACAAACAAACAAGACTCGGCGCCTATAGCTCAAGTGGCTAAGGCGCCAGCCACATACACCTAAGGTGACAGGTTCGAATCCAGCCCGGGCCTGCCAAACAACAACGGCGGCTGCAACCAAAAAATAGCCGGGCGTTGTGGTGGGTGCCTGTGGTCCCAGCTACTTGGGAGGCAGAGGCAGGAGACTCGCTTGAGCCCAGGAGTTGGAGGTTGCTGTGAGCTGAGA